TTCTAAATTCTATTATTGAGTAAATATTATTATTAATTATTACTCATCTATAGTCATCTACCCAATACGAGTAAGATATCCGGACTTATTAACCAACACACTGTCAAAACACACTGTCAAGACTAAAAAAAATTAGAGACTTAATATTTACTCTGTACTTTCTGTAGAAAATCATTTTTAAAAATTCTCAATTTAAAGGTTGGCTTACGAGGTTTACTATTACTATTCACTGACGGTGCATTGGTTGATGGTCAGGAGAAAAAATAAAACTTCATAGGTATGTAGGTATGGAAGAAGGAATTCTGAAAATCGTACAGGTAATACAAATAATACGATTACGTAGGTATATCTACTGCGTCATCTAGTGACAAAAGTGAGAATTGGTAGGTGGTGGATTTTCGAGGGTTCTCAAACAAAGTTCAAAATTAAACCATAGATGTCACTGCCGTTCATGGCTTAATATAGAAAAGGAGCGATTTACAGTCGGGGATATCATGCACTTGCAGTATCCACTAATACACTTATACCTATATTATTACCTACTATAACAATAATAATAATATTAGATATTTATTCATTATTACTAAGGCTATGAATTTAATGTACTAAAGAACCTTAAAAAATGCATTAAAAATGTAAAAAAAAGGCAATAAAATATGCACTTAAAATGCAAAAAATACAATATATAATACCAAAAATTATAGTATCAAATTCATTTAAAATGGTTTTTAATTTAATTTAAATATTTATATTAATATTAGATATAGGATATTATACATTAGTATATTACATGCATAAAAAAGTGTTTATTTAAAAAGAAAAAATTATGTTTATTGTTGATTGAATTTGAATTTTCTATACTTAATGCAATTCACCTGAAATTTTTTTAAAAATTTTAGAAATAAATAACTTACAAATAACTGACGTATTTATCTAGCAATTGACTTATTTTATCGACGTATATACAGCCTATGTACAAAAACAATTTTTTTTTCAAACATTTTGACTGGAAAATGAACTAAAAAAAGAAAATATTACATAAAAACACACAAAATTTACCTAAACAATTTAAAATGTCAAAAAATGCAAAATAAAAGTAGCATAAATAGATTCGTAGTTACATAATTCAAATTATGTCCTTACAAAGCTGCGTTTCACAATCACCAAAAAAAATGCACTTTCCTACAAATTCACTGCCCCAATTATTACAGAAAGAAAGACTGTTGTTTTCAAAAAGTTTATTTTACTAATATTCGTGAACCATATTTACCGCGGACATCTAATAATCGATAAAATTAAGTTGTTACTTAATACAAACAGTCATTGCAGAATCTTAAAGAAACGAAAAAAAGGCCTCGAGAAATATGCCTCGAGAAAAAATAAACAACTGAAAAAAAAGCCAACTTGTTTATTTTTAAAAATTAATTATATTAATTGTTATCAGTTATATTATTAATTCTAAAAAAAGCAACTGCATTCTCTAGTAATTGAGTATATTGATTTTACAATGTGTATTTTTTTTATATTCAACTTCATTCAATTTATTATTTACTTCAGTAACTTTTTTGGCGCACAAATTAATGGTTGGTCAGTAATTTTGAAAAACAAAACAAAAGAATTTAATATAAGGTTTTTAGTATATGTAAGTAAAATATAACTTAATGTATTTCGTTCATATTGCAACATGTACCTACATTTAAAAAAATAAGTAAACTGTTCAACGTAAGCACGTCATACGTTTTACATATTTATAGGTATAAGAAGTAAAGAGATTGATTTCAAGATCATATGAGCTTATCATCAAAACACCATGTTATTTTAGTTCAATTTATGACATTTGTTGGCATTTTACTGAGGGAAATTCCTTTAAAACCTTTATTGGATTAAGGTACTATAAATAGCTATACTATTTACTATAAACATACTTTCTGTCTCAAATATCTATCTTCAAAGTTAGGATTTCTCTTATATTTCAGTGTCTTTATTTGTTCTACATACAATGGAAATAATCAATTCTAATAAAAATAATAATAAACTATGTTTTGAAAGTTAATACACACCACTAAAAGTTGTATTAAATTATTTTGATATGTCTTCAGCTAAGAGGAGAGCTTTTGAGTTATGACCTGTGATAGTGGTCGTAGGTAGATGATAATCTAATTCAATGTCTATTGAATATTCCGGGGACTTAGTAGATGTGAATACAAATTGTTTAGGACAAAATAATGAGGTTTGCGACATTTAAGACGGGTTAGGGTTCAATAGCCAGGTCCAGTAGGAATAGTGAATAGTTGGAGACTTAGACAAATGACCTTGATGATATCTAAATAGTCTATGTGATAATAAATAAAATATAATGTAGATAATAAAAATATGATGAATATAATAATAATAATTATAATATATTTATAGTTATATAACTTATAATATTCGGACAGTGTTGAATTTTAAATAAGTATCCGGAAGAGGGCTATCATCCTTTAAATAATTTAAAACTGCTGTTATTTTATTATAACCATCTATTACACATGAATTATTTTAATTTCTATTGCCTAAGTAGTGGTATATGAGTTCGAATAATTAATTATACTCTGCCCCCGTCACATGGTTATTATAAATTCAAGGAGTTAGAACTTGCATCCCGCAAAGCATTTACCCGGTTTCGGATGCGAAATCCGTAAACAATTTTAACAATTTTTTTAACGCGAAACCCATAACTCGAGTAGAATTTCATTCTTATTAGTTATTTGTACTTTAAACCCTTAAATTGCCAACACTTGTACCCAATTTTAGACGCGAAATCCACAAACAGTGTTGCACTACCCGGTTTTGAACACCAGACCCACAACATTGTTTACCCGGTTTCTTACACGAAACCCGGTATCCAAAAAATTTTTTTTTAAGTTTTCTCATATAAAACTCAACTCGTATAGGTAAATACAATATTTTAACCCATTTTCACTCCTCTTGGTCTTATAATAATAAGTGACAAATACAAATCCTCCAGCGCCAGCAGCAGCCTGGGTCGTCTTCCAAATCATGAAACACACTAAGACTCAATGCTAGTAAGCTAAAAATGTGCGAATGCCGTTCTGTGACAACATTTAAAATAATAATAATAATAAAAAAATAATTATAATTATAATTAAAATAGTATATTTTTATTATTATACTCTAGTTTTCGCTTCACCGATCTTTGTAAATGACAATATTATTGAAGTCGATTGGCATTGGAGTGTTCTTGTTCATGATGTGGATGATGTCTACAGTTAGAGGGACACCATAAGAAAGAAAAACGCTCCACTTTAAAACGCTTCTCATGATTTTAAACAACATGGACGATGTGATATTATGTTGTTTAACAAGCAAAGGTGGTGTGGAAATTTTTGAGACGATGTCATCATGCATCGAGTACTTTCGAGTAATATAGATAATACAAATAATAATAAGATAAAATAAATTAAGAATTGGTTATTTTTTTAAATTTAAATCTTGAGCAAAAAAAAAATATTTAGTTATAAATGTTACAATAATATAGTTATTTTACCACGTATGAGGTGATTATTTTAACAGAGCACCTACTATTAATAATTGAATTTGAATACCAATTGAATATTAACTAACTACAAATTAATTATTTGAATCAATAGTTGTAGTTGTTGGTAATAGTTTTTGAATAATAACAAAATAATAATGGGAATTTGTTAATTTACGGTTCAATATCTAAGGTCTAACTTCAAACGCTCGTAAAAAATTAATTTTACTTTTCGATAAACTTTTTTAAAATTAAAATAAAGGCAAATTGGTGGGGGATATTGTGTAACAATTTCAAATTTTAGATATATATAGAACATGTTTTATGAATTTCCAACTCGAAATAATTTGGCAATTTTCGTGATTTTAATGAATTTTGTCAAAATGTTTACTTCAGACTCTCACAAAAAATAGTTTTTGAATTGAATTTTTTTTCATATCTACTAACAACAAGTTATGAGAAACGTTTTGTAACATTTTCAAGTTGTTTGACCAAGCAAAAGTTGATAAAAAAATAAATAAAATTCAATATATTCTTATGCATAAAATAAGCTTAAAAAAAATCATAGTTTCGAACATTTTATGGTGAGTAGAAATTTCTAATATAAACATGCAGTAAACATTTCAGTATCTAAAGTCTAGGGTTATTTGAGAGTTACACTAAAAAACAAAATGGATTTTTTAAAAAACTGGTTTTGCATAAAATTTTAATTTTTCCTTAATTTTTTGTTTACTTTTCTTGGCGCTTTTGAAAACTATTGAAAATTCTTTACTTTTGGACCCCAAAGTAATAACTAGATTAAATGTTTGATGAAATATTTGATTTGAAAGATGTTTAAGTAGAAAATTAAACCATTTTTACTGCTTAAAAAAGTGTGGACATACCCACAAAAAAAAACACACATCGTTGTAAAATCAATACATTAACCGCTCCTCTCGGAATCTAATAGATTATTATTATCAATAATAATAATAGTAATAATCACCTATTTATTTTAGTGATCTATATTATTGGTAAAACCACCTCAAATCTCAGCATGTTTAGTTAGGTGGTCAAAAATATATATGCTGAAGTTATAACCAATTGTATTTGAATGTAATAAGTACGTGTGATGTATAATGTATATGTAATATATAATGTTTAATGTATAATGTATACTTACATAAAATGTAATGTATATTGATCAAGATGCGTAATACATACAGGTACACGTCTATGTCACATCAATATCATAGAATTTATACTGTTTTTATTGTTGTGGACTGTACCTTTTAATTTTAGCCTTGAGGTAAGTACGTTGACTTGTTATTATCAAATATTAACAATTATTTACACACATAATTACAGATTCAAGTACACTGATAAATAAACAGCACTTGACACGCAGTCCTACGCTCGACACACGCTCCGGCGAGGTTCTGTCGCAGCATTCCCACTCCTATTCCGGCCATGAATGTATAAAAACCACACCTCGAGAACATCTGCACTCTACTAGAATTATTATAGTAAATAACTGCCTGTGACAAGTCTGATACTACGGTAGTTGACGGCTGACAGTCCGACATTGTAGACGCGTGTCCGGTGTATGTCCGTCGGGAATTTAACAATTTATACTTTTATTTTTTCTCTGCAACTGTCTAATTTTTTATATTTTACATATTTTGAGCTGGTATAATTTGATTGTAAGTATATCATTGATAGAACCCATACATGTTATATTTATTTTATTTGTACAAGATTGGAACACCAAGTTTCAGCTGTTATAGCTATACCTATATACTATAATAAATTCACCGTGTATCATTATTAATTGATTATATTACAAAATTGCATTTTATATTTGAAAATTTGTGTATGTTACAGCTGAGCAAAGTTATAACAATGACTTACAAATTAACATATTTCAACTTCACTGCTCTGGGTGAACCCATCCGATTCCTGCTGTCATATTTGAATATTGATTTTGAAGATAAACGAATCGAAGTCGAACAATGGTCATCAGTTAAACACAGTAAGTAATTTAAAACGAGAAAATTATTACATTACTATCCGTTGATATTAATTTGGTTAGGTATATCCTTTAAGGTGTTGTTTGTAAAGTCAATGTTATACATCATGAATGTCGAGCATATTTTGTAAAAGTAGGCAAGTTCATGAACAAATAAACTTGATCAATTCAGTCAAGCCAACACTTAGCACCTTATATTACTAATTACCCATGTAGGTAACTAAATACTAATAATATAATATTGAACTCAAAAAGTTTCAATTTCAATAGCACCTATGTAAATAGTAAAATATTAACTCAACTTAGTTAAAAACAAGTAAATTTATTTTTTTTAACAACCACCCGTATTCAAAAACAATACAACATTCAAATTAATTAAAAATAATTTTGTAAAATATTGCACCCTACTGTTTCTCTTCTTAGCACTCACTAAAATAAAAGACATTATACAGGCCCAATCAAATTGATGCTTTCTATGGCATGTAATATTTATGGTATCATGTGAATATTATGTTTTTTTAGCCATCCCGTATGGTAAAGTCCCGCTGCTGGAAATCGATGGTAAAGTGTTGAATCAATCTTCGGCCATCTGTCGTTATTTAGCTAAAAAGGCTAATTTAGCTGGTAGCGATGATTGGGAATCTTTGTTGATAGATATTGCCGTTGACAATTTTCAAGATTTTCGTATGAGTAAGTACAAGTCTCTGCCTGTATACGATGAATGGACTTTTTAAAATGTTTAACATTATTTTTAAAGGTATAATATCGTATTATTACGATCCAAATGAAAAATCTAAAGCTGAAAAGTATGTTACGTTGGTGAATGAAACTATTCCATATTACATGGAACGATTTGAAAACATTGTTGTTGAAAATAATGGATACTTTGTAAACGGAAAGGTAAACAATGCTTAAATGATTTAATAGAGTACCTATATCATTTTTCAGTAATTTTGTGACACCGTGTTAACCTATATAAAGAATGTACAAATTATAAAAACTTTAAATTAAAGTTAATTATTTCTATATTTTCCCACTTTTATTATTGAAATACATATTGGTAGGTATATGTTAAAACCGGTACAATGCAACTGAAAATACTGTTAAACTTAAAAATTACATTGTATTTATCTGAAAATAATATAATCCGAACATCTCTATAATAATAATTTGAGAATTCAAGATTAATCATTTATCGGGTTTCTATTCATTTGGTTGCATGTAAGTCGTGAAGCTAGTATTACAAATTTTACCTATGCTTTTACAGGGCATTTTTATTTGATTTCAAATTTTTTATTAATTTAATTTGGTTTGATGATCATGCTTGACATTTTGTTTGTATATATATATTAGAAATTGTAGCTTAACTGTATAGTCTTATGTATTGTATTAAATTACTATAATAATATAGCCAAAGCACCTTTATATTATGAAAAAAAAATAACAGTTTTTAATCACAAGTATTTAATGGTTTGATTCATAATATAAATTAAACCAGAGATTTAAGCTAGTTCATATGCTTATTTTATTTTATAGAAGTATAATGTAATTATATGAAATTTATATTATATTTTATAATTTATTTTCAACAATTAATTTGAATAATGTACTTATGCATTATTATAACCAGTTTTACCATAATTTGTTTAGGTGGATTTATGTCGGTAGGTAGATGTTTTTATGCATAAGTGTTGAATTTAAATAATTTATATTTTGAGCAAGGAATTAAAATAACTATATCTACAATAATATGTTTTAATTAAAGGTGGTTATCATTTAATAGTATTGTATTTACCACGATATATTTTTTTTTTCAGTTATCTTGGGCTGATTTATTCTTTGTAGCTATTTTGGACTACTTAAAATTTAGATCAGAAATTGACTTATTGAAAGGTCGTCCTAACTTACAAGCTCTCCGAGAGAAGGTATTAGCAGTACCCACGATTAAATCATGGATTGCAAAACGACCAGTGACTGTTGACATTGCATAATTTCGTCGTCTTTATTAGATATATTTAATTAAATCATATAATACCCACTATAAAATTAGATCTAAGTACCACGTACATATTTTAATACGATATGGATGGTAAAATGGTTTGTTTAAAAATACTTGCTTTCCGATTATAATAATTGCGGACATATTATAATATATATATTGTATTATTTACATTGTAAGCTAATGTAGTCAATTTGCAACAGAATAAAGTCAAAATGTACAGTTATAGTATTGTTTTTTATCGTTCTAAATAAAATATAGCTAACAATTATTGGCCTTCCTAGTTCCTACAGTACGGACTGTCCCCAGCCGGCTATCACATCTGTCATAAGTAGGGCCCGGATTTAAATGCACTTAAAACTATACAGATATGCTCTAAAAAATAGGCAAAAATGCCCTTAAAAAATGCATTTTACCACAAAAATGACCTTAAAAATGCCATATATTTTTTTTATATACAAATTGTAATTTATAAATGAGACATAATAATTATTTTATTAAAAAAAAACTGAAAATTTTAAATATTGACTGATATGATGTCGACATGCATGTTTTGGCCGTTTTAGAGGAAATATTATTCATTCTAAACATCTACAATCAATAATAGATTAAGATAAGATAAAAACTAAATCGAAAAAAAAAATGACAATTTGTATGGAAAAACCCGATAAACCTTCTTAAATATCAAGAAAATAATTTATCTTAAGATATTTTTTTGAATATTCCAAGTTTTATATCTATTTTGAACAAATATGCATTAAAAACCAACAAAATGACCCAATAATGCTAAAAATGCTCTAAAAATGAAAAAACGTCGAAATATGCAAAAAAATGCAAAATAAAATTTGTAGCTTTCAAACCCTCGTTACATGGAACGAATTATGTACTTAGAAAGCATTGTATATGATCAACCAAAAAAATATGCACTTTGCATTGAAATCCGGGCCCTAGTCATAAGTATAGTAAAATAAACATGTATCAGTTAGTGTACAAAAATGTAATATCTAAAAAAAAAAAACACTATAGATAATACATTGTACAAAAACATTGTCTGCGTTAAAAATAAATAGCGAAGCTAACTCAATCGTATATAATAAAAAAAAACAAGCAAACTACAAAATGCATTTCGTACAACTGTACAAGCAGTAGTCAATACAGTGGCTAGGTGTCTGGCTAGGTATCTTCCACAACCGAGATGCAAAAGGAAGTGAAAACATTCGAAGACATAGAATCCTCAGGCGGTTTGCTATCCTTAAACGAGGATCATCGGCCAGCGGTCGGAAATGAGTTTTCCAACATCCGCTCTCAGGTGAAAGTGTATTTGAGTGTATTCATAGCACTTTAGCAGTGCCGTATTTTTCATTATTCACAAATGACATATTACAATTGATGAATATATTTATGAGTTTTATTTTTTTTAATTTTGATTTTTAGTCAATGTGTTTTACAGTATTAATAAGACGAAACATCGCGGAGGAGTGGGTATCAAAACCAAAACCATGTCTTGCACCATATTTTGCCCTCCACTGGGCACCTTGGCACTGACACTTAGGTATGAGATGTCCGCTCACTACTGCTCGTTGGATGACTTCATGTAGTTGATGTGTATTTTGTAAATCTCAGTTTTTTGTGTATGAAATAATAATACTTATATACTTGATAGGTATTAGTTTTGGTGAATTCTATATTTGATTTTACTGCAGTATGTATTTTCTCACCTACTGAAGTATATTTTATTAGTTGATTTTTAATGATAAAGAACATGCAATATGATTGTGAGTATACAAATTTAATATAGCATATAGTATTCTAATTCTGATGCACATCATATAGCGTTTACGTGATTGAATAACCTTAGAATATCGTGACATCTGAGTCTTTAACTTCGAATATCTGTGTAAGTATTGGCATAAGGATTATAATATTAAATATTAGATTATTGTTCTTAAATGAAAACAGATATAATCGGTCATATTGGTCCGTGCCGTATGCGGGGTAGCGCAATATACATATATACTCATTAGATATATACATAAGTTCCTTATGATCACACGACACGTGTAAAAACTGTATTCATGATATAATTGTATTCGCTCGTTTAACTTAAATTGCATTCGGTTGGCAGATCGACTATGTATAATCGCTACGGATGTAGAGACTTTTGAGACCTGTATGAGGTCTGAAACATAGCCGTAGGCGCTCAATTACTTAAATTATATCCGGTTTGCAGATTGACTTCTCATGATTGTTACGGATTGTGGGATTCTTGAGAGTTCAAGATAATAGTGACAGTTACAACAAACACAGTTGTGCAATTCATATCCAAACAACTACGTAAGACTCTCAAAAAGATCGTTAGGTATTTAGTTCTTTAAATAAATCAAAATGCATACATTGTCACCATGATATCGAGAATCCAACATCACTCTCAGAGAATAACAACCAATACATACCACAAGTACCACAGGGCAACACACGCTGCGCATGAGGTAAGTGAATATATACATATTATGCATTTCGACTAAAATACAAATATACATTTGTATATATATATTTCGGTAGTGGGATAATCATACACCCGCTTTAAAAACAATTAAAATAATAACCGTATTAGAACGACTTTCGGTAACACCAATATATGTACCCAACATGTGCATAGGCACCATCCTTCGTATCCTATTACATAAACACGTTTTACTTCCTTGAGATGCATGGCCTAGTGCCCAAGTATCAGGGGATCGTTGGACCTACCCTTCCTGGAAAGACGCTTGCAGCCACTCTCGGTGACGATATTCGTGTAGGCCACGAACCTTCCATACATATGATGTTCGTACCTATACTCAAATACGAATTTCATCATACTCCCCATATTACGATCTCGACCCTTACACCTGCACTGCGTCTTTGTCTAGATTATCTACTTCCCTCTTCCTATTTTTTATTCTACTACAGGATTCTTAATTGTATTAAATAAAGATTTAACATCTAACGATGAGACTGCAATACTTTTAATATTAATCAATGCAATTTTTTATGTAAGCCAATAATTTGAATATTTATCTAAATCACTAGAAAATAAAACAAATTGGATGTAATCAGTCAAAATTGGATCTAAAATAAAAATAACCGGGAAATATTAAAAAAAAATCGAAAGCTCTGCCCTATAAATTACCTATTTCGAAACAATTCGTTATCGATTAAGTAACTAAAATAAACGGATGGGTGAAAGTTGAATTGAGGGATAAATAAATGTATACCAACCTATACGAAACAAAAGATTCTGACCGATGGATAATGGTTAGAATCCGTGCATATTTCTTAAGGTAGTTATGAACAATTATGTTTTATTAAATATGTGTATAGCAACTACCAAGTTGAATAATTTATTATTATAATGTCAAATCTGTATTTCGTAGTAAAATAAAATTGTTTTAAATAAATCAAGTTCAATTGAAGCAAGTTTTTTTTTATAAAGCATGTTAATTCAACAAAGGATACTTTAAGGAATTCAATTTAGAAAATTTGTGAATATCTTTGTTATTAATGACCAGATTGTTTATATTCTTATCTTGGTTGTCTATTTATTTATTTAAATTATTGTGAATCGGAAGACTTTTTGATGAATTTGGGAACATTTTTATGAATTTGATCAAATATTCTTATTTTAATATTAAATTTTATCTGATCTTATTATTAGTTTACCATCCAAAATAATGTATGGTTGGTTAATTATTAAAATAGAATAAAGTTTATATTTTAAAAATGTAGCAAAAGTTATGAGAATATTAGAAAAACGCATTATTCACCCTGAATGACAATATCAAAATATTTCTAGTTAAACAAATCTATTATTTCAATTTAAAACGAAATATTTAAGCTTCAAATTTTCAAAATTTTTAAATTATAAAAAATCAGTAATGTTTTTAGTTTTTCCTTTGAAATTTTTTTAAAGCTATGTTTTTTCTGACACTGTCACCTCTTGCAACAAGTTAGAGTAGGTGGTATATTTTATTGAAAATTTTAATTCTCTACCATATCTCTAAAAAAATATTACAACAAAACACCGAAATAGATTTTCTGGTGCATACATTTTTTCTATTTTTGTTAGTGTTTGTATACAATGTAGGAAAATACTAGAAATGTATTAATTTACCACTCAAAGCATATTAACTAGATAGTATGTGTTACCATAAAAATCACTCTGAATGTTAAAGCTAAGAAAAAATATTCTGCTTCAAAACGTAATGGTAGGAACTTGACAAAAAGCACTTATCCATGTTTTGATTTTTTATAATTTTTAATATTTATGTAATAAAATATAATATAATATTAAGACACAAAATTAACAATTATAAGAAATAACACCTATAAGTAATTTTCTGTTTCAAATATAAATAGAGTTTGGATTTAAAATTGTCAGGATTTAAAAAATGTAAAATGCAAATTACACTCGTTGCAGTTATACAAATACAAATATTATTTTTATTGAATTTAACATACAGTATTATAGTTTATAAGTAATAAGTATTCAGTATTATTTGATACAATGTCGTTATTATACCGGTTGACATACATTATTTATTCTAATATAAGGTGCTCTTATAATACTTTATTAAAAATCATTTTATGATAAATAAATAAAATAAAACCAAATAATAAATAAACTCATTACAAAAGTTATAAATTATGAGAACAATAGAATAAAATCATTAATCAAATACATACCCATGCCATTCGAAGATATTATATTATTATCAACAAATCTTAAAACGTAAATTTTATCATAAAAGTTTTTGTTCAGTATATGTAGTACCAGAATGAATTTTGAATTATCTGAGTAAGGAAGAAATAAAAAAAGGAAATCAATAATGAACCCCCGATAAAATATCATTAGTCACTTGGGTAAAATCAATTTTATACCATTGCCCTGATAGGAACTACCAGCAGTCCTAAAATTAGTTATTATTTGAATCATCATAACGACTTGGCGAATGAAGGTCTTTTGGCGATCCATGATTTAATTTGAGGTATTTCCCATATTTTTTTCTTATGTTCTTGTAATTTTGGACGACCCTCTAGTATATCCACTTTTGCCATAAAGTTCAAAAAGTCTAAAATAGCTACAAAGTGCAAGTCAGCCCAAGACAACTAGAATAAATAAAAAACCATTCAATTAATATTAAATTGATGAATAATAAAAGATAAATAAATTATTATTGAAAAAAAAACAAAATTTTGAATAACCAAATAAAATTATACTAAACGAAATCGAAATTTTTAATATTATATTTTATAAACATATGTGGATGAGTTTTTTTTACCAACGGCTAATCTTAAAAACTGTTAGGCCAATTTCATTAAAAGTTATATCAATAGATTGTTTGAGAAATAGATCAGATGATGTTTTTAGCTACTATTTTTCAACTTATCAGAAGTAATTTGAACCATGTAAAAAACAATGGAAAAATACATCAAGTGTTTTATCCAATCTGCTATATTATTATGTTTATTATCCTGCCAAATTAGTTCATAATTCAAGGAACTCCGATGCTGATTTGGCCTTGAACTTAGGTATACTAAAAACGAGATGAACTGAATAGTGCTGTATTTTGTGTCTGTTCATTTTTTCCGGAGCAATATCAGGTCACACAAATAATATTTTTGCATACACCCAAAATTAATAACTTAATTTTTTAACATACAATATTTATTAAAAAAAATAATTATGATGTTGCGAACAAATAGAACTCTGTAAATATATATTATAATTTATAATGTTGACTTTGGTTTATTTTATTTTATTTTTACTATAGATAGGTAGTAGGTACCTATTATAATAAAACACTGATATTATACAGTTATGGAGTAATTATTATGCAGAATGTAGTAAATGATTTTTAATATTTCAAGATTTAACATAATTATGTTTTTGGGCTTGATACAATTTTTTTTGTTCCTGACTGATTTTTCGTCAGGTTTGCGTTGTCATAGTTACTCATTACAAAAACGTATATTTATGATTCATAGATTTACCTTGTAGAAGAAAAAGTTTTAGAGTGTCTATTAATTTTTGTAGAGCCCTAGTTGGCCTTCAAATGTTTGTAATGTGTATTTTGGGATACATCTTAATAAAACATTAGACAGAGTTAATTTTGGCCTTAAATCAATAAATTACTTTATCTTAAGGTGTGGTTTTCAATTTTCAGATAAATAAATTACCATTACCTTTCCATTTACAAAATATCCATCGTTTTCCTCCACAGTTTTTTCAAATTTGTTCATATACAACGGAATGGTTTCGTTTATTAATGTTATATATTTTTTAGCTTTAACTTCTTCATTTGGTTCAAACGCTGTCAGTGAAATAGCTTTAAAAATAACAAATAAACACAATTTACATATTGTTATATTCTTAAAAATCAAAATAATCATTTTTATATTTTACCTTGTCTCAAATCATTAACGTTGTCAACAGCGATATCCATCAGTAAAGATTCCCAATCGTCGCTACCTGCTAATCCGGCTTTTTTCGATAAATAACGAGTTATGGCTACCGACTGATTCAATATTTTGCCATCGATTTCTAAAATTGGGACTCTACCAAATGGCATCGCTAAAACGAATAGATTTATTTTAAATTATAAAGCAGTTATATTTGTTAAGTAAATATATAAATCAGGAATACTGCATAGGCCAATTATACTAAGTATTAAAAACTAACTTAGTGGTATAGTACAGACATAATTTACATTTATTTAAAATGTCAATCGACAATCGCTACGAAGCAAAAAATAAAAACGTGTATCAACATTTTAGAAAATGGTAAATTGCATTTGCCATTTGATCGCAACAATTGTCACTGAATATTTATTGTCATTCAGGAAAAAAATGAATGTAACATATTTTGTAATTTATAATTATTATTGAATATAATATATTTTAAATAGGGGAGAATGAGTTTTCCATACTCATCATACGTTGATTACACAGTTTAACGTAATAGGTTTATTTATTGTTTTCGCTCTATTTTGGTTTCTATTTTTAATTTTAATTTTAATTTAATCTATTTCATCATTTTAACAATGTTCAATGCACAATAATAATAAAATCAATCTTTCCAAACTATTTTAAAATAAAATTGAATTTTTTGATTGAAATTGTATTAGTTTCTTTCATTGATTTATGATGATATCCATTTAATATTTATAATGAACTTCTTTGTGCACTATTATTCGCAATCCAATCATTTGACAATAGTCTTATTATAACGATGTAAATCAATAAAATGTGTGGACACATCGTTACATTACTTACTGGGTTTGATTGATGGCCATTGTTCGCCTTCGAACCGAACATCTTCAAAATCGATTTCCAAATAAGATAAGAGAAACCTGATTGGTTCTGCCAGTGCAGGAAAATTGAAATACGTGAGTTTGTACACGGTCATTTTTTCTGTAGAAATTTCAAAATATTTTGTTTTACTTATTTTGTTCGTCGAATTGATTGAAAGTTTATTTCAAATAGTATATCTTAGAGTGACAACGTGCTTGGTGCTGAATGGTAGTACCTACCTAGTAGTGATATTTTTACTTAATTAAAAATACTTACAACAACGAAAAATAAACTTTGATTTTTATGGGCAACGAATGGATATCAAAGAAAACAGTGACTACACTACTGTGTTGCTGGACTGCGATTGTTACAATAATTCAGTTCTGACATTGAATCGTTCTTTTATAATATTATGCTGGTACACACCATGAGCCTACACGTCACTCATCATGGCCGTTGTCTGTCATTCATTTATTTATATAAACCGATTAGATAAGTACCATATTTTCGAGGCCGTTGGCGTACGGTATAGGCGTTAGTGGCAGGGGTAATGGTTAGGAGAGCGAATTCAAAACATTTTCGTTCTTACCTATCTAATGGTTATTATTACGATCATTAATGCTAGCTTCTTGATTACACTGTCCGTCCATGAGATCATCGGACCCGAGTGGTCGATGACGACATTCGATATCAGTGTTTACAAAATGTTGTGTATTCTAAACTGTTATAAACTCGTAAACGATATTAACATACTTCCACAACATCAATTACTGCTATACTTAATTTACTAAACTATCATCGATGTTTGTCAAAATTATAAAATATATCATGCTGCATACTAATAAGTTAACGTAAATTAAACATTTGAAAGGTACTTATAAACAATTTGTATAGTATAAATAGCAAATTAGTAATATAATCTATTCATAAAACATGCAAAAAACGAACAGGCATTACCCTCTAATGTTGTGCATTAAGTGTCTAGAGAAGTCAATTTAATAATAATAAAAATTCTGTGTGTTAAATTTGAATTCAACAATATACAATCATTGTATACGAAAAACTATTCTGAATATGAAGGCAGTCTTTCAGTACAGAATATTACTAACTAGGTATGTTTTATGATATTGTTGTGATTAAAGTAATGTATTTGACAATAAGGTATTAGTACTACAGTAGGTTATAATATTAGTTTATGGTGAAAACATTTCATTTGACAATTATTGAACTGTGTGTACCTAATACCTATATACTATAATAATGTTTTTTTAAATTTTCAAGTAGGTTTAAATGAATAATATTTTTATATACATGTTACAACAAAATAACTAAAATCGTTATTCTCGTTTAAATATCCAATTTTTTGAAAAAATTATTTTTATATAAATATATGTCATTTCAAAACCACATTTCTGAAAAAAGTGTAGTTTTTAATATTTGTATAATTTTGTAAGTCTTTTACATGAATATACCATACGGGAAAAATTGTTAACGATTCAAAGAGCCTTTGTTATAAATATTTTACTTTAAAATATTATTATTCAGCGGCAGCTTAGTATGGATTCTGTAAGTGTTAACATTTTAAATTTGTATAGTTGAATATTGTACATCCAAATAAGTTTTTTCATAAGTAATTAATGTGCTGAAATAAAAAAATGTATATTCACATTTTTTTGTATTTTTTGAGATATTTTAAGTTCAAAATTGGTCAAAATTAGATATTTAGGCAACGAATAACGATTTTAGTTATGTATTAAATATTAAATTGTATGCACAGAATGATATTTTCGAATGGAATTTCTTTGTCAAACAATAATTTAATGTAGGTACTGCATTACTACAACGTCTAGTTGATAAATAAATAATTGTAATAGCAATAATATCATAAGATATACTTATCAATAAAGGCAGACTTTGGCTCAAAATCATATTGGGTGTATAATGATTTTATATCATTAAGTTTGTGATGCATTCATTAAAGTGACTGTTCTAGACACGTCTTGTCCACCTTTTTACTAAAAGTTTTTACTTTCTCATGAACTATGATATTTTAGGTGAGTTAGCAAAATATTACTATTCAAAATTAACTTATGTTTGTGAGAGCATGGGTTCATAAAGAAGGTTGCTTGAACTTGGACTTCATCAATATTTTGGTTTAAATTTTTTTTTTTAAATTCTGAACTAGAGTTTTAATTTTTTCAAAATAATAGCAAAAGTTTGGACACAATCTGTCAAAGTGGAAAGGACAACTTCACACACATATAATACGCAATTGAATTGAACTATATACTGTCATATTTTAATCGCTCGTACCGTTCCAAAACCGTCGAAGACCGTTTTTCAAGCTCCAAGTGCTGAAGTCTGGCACCCAATCAAAATTGATTTTCGGAGATTTGCTTGGATTGCATATTCTCAATGTGTGACGAGAGATTATGACCAATTGGTTAATATTTTTTTAAATCATCTTTGTATCAAAATGTTTACTTAATGAGACAGTGATCTTAAGTTACTGTCCAACTTTGTTTATATGATTTAACTTGGTAAAAACAACAATAATTAAAAGTAAAAAAATTAAAAAATTGTTTTTTTTTAAATTTTAATATATGAGTATAATTTTTCTTTAATATATAACTGTACAAGTTGAATGATACTTAATACTTTTTAAATTAAATACAATTTATTATTTTTAGTCAGTTGTTTAATGTAAAAATTATTGTACTGCACTACCTATAAAAGGGTCCCCTGAGGATTTGCACATTGCGATATCTCCTGAGATAATAAATATATCATAAATATGTTTTTTTCTAGCTAGACGCAAAAAGATAAAGACAACATTTATTTTATTTTTTAAATTTAATTACATTTTTTGGTAAACATTTATTTTTTCATTTTTTTTGTTTGAAACAATTGAAGATATCCATTTTGTAGAAGTTATTTGTTTGAAAATGTTGGACACATTTTTTTCTTAGTTTATAGGTAAAACGGCAAAAAAATTATTTTTATCCAGGTGGTAACAAATAAGTAAGTTCATACCAAGTGCTAATGAGTGTATCCTAACGAGAAATCCTGTATTTGTTCAATTATCGAAGTTTCTTAGATTACATTACCTATCTTTAAATTTAATTGTCCAGCAATAATTCTCTCATGTTCTTTAGAACCAAAAGACTGTTCATAACAGTTTATAGTAACTTTAATATTTTATGATATTTAAATTTATTTATGACTATACTATCAATTATCTAAATGTTTATTAAATGCATGTACTCTCTTCAATCATATATACTTGATGAATAGGGACATAAAAAATGTATTGTTTAAAGTTACTGAAAAATAATTGTTAACTGCATATACTTCCTTAAAATTCAGTGGGAATTTTTTAGGTATAAATTATCGGTACTTATAAATTGGGATTATAGAAAGTTTAGAAAGTCGATTAATCACCAAAAGTGGAGCTGTAGACATGCCCCCTCCCTCAGAGTTTTTTAATTTTTGATGTTGTAAAGGTTACGCGGATATTCCATGAGTAATGGAAAGAATTCACTGGAATTTAGCTCTAAATATTGGAGTTGTAGGAAGTTGAAAAATTGAAATGAGTGGAGGAAAAGAAATGTTTGTGTAATTCTTTTATTTTCAACATAGATAAATTGGGCTTTGACTTAAACTGTACAGGATTTTAAATTCAAAAAATCAGATTTTACTCTTAGCATTAAAAGGTACAAGACGTAGGTACAATAAATAAATGATACACGATTACTATTGTATAATGTATGATAAACACAGTTTAATATAAATATTCTTATTTGACACAATAATATAACAATCGTTATTATTCCGGTTTGACTTACACTATTACAGTCAATACCTACAACAATTATGTATTAAATGAGCTGAATTAATTTTTATATGTCTATTATAGTGATCAATCACCTGAATCATACGAGAACAATAAAATAAAATACATATTAATGATAAACTATTTTAAAAACATAAATTGTATTAAAAAAGGCTTATTATAATATTATAGTTTTTAGTAGGTACCAGTTTGCATCTTTCATAACCTAGGTAAGGAAAATAAAATAAAAAAATCATTAATATACTCTGGATATTTATAATATCATAATAATTAATAGTTACTTGGGTAAAATCAATCTTAAAGAGGTCTTGTTGAAACTTGCAGTAAACAAAAAATTAGTTTTAGGCTTCATATTTGAATACAGGTCTTTTGGCGATCCATGATTTAATTTCAGGTATTTCCGATACATTTTTTTTAAGCTCTTGTAATTTTGGACGACCCTCTAATAGGTTCACTTTTGCCAAATAGCCGAAAAAATCGACTACTGCGACAAAATATAAATCAGCCCAAGACAACTATAATAAAAAAATTAAATTATTAAATTAATATCGGAGACAATAATAATGATGAAAAATTAAAAATTAAAAAAATAAAACATTATTTTAAACAACAAAATAAAATTATAATTAAATTAATATCCATACCTATCTACTAGTATAGATCATTTATTATATTATACATAACTTTCGTGTCACGATATTCCATTACGCTAATCTCTGAAACCGCTTAACCGATTTTAATGATTTTTTTTGTATACATTTATTGCTTCTCTAACTTGAGAGATAGGATGGTAAATAAATTGTTTTCTCGATAAGAAGCTCTTAATTTTTTTTTATTGAAAATACAACAAAGGATTTTGAGATTTACGGTGAACATTTTTGTTTATAAATGGTTGCTATTGGTTAAAGCTTACAGATTATAATATTTATATAAGCAATTAGTATTTATTGTGTTGACATTAGCTGATAAAAATTAAATTGAATTCAATAATTTTTACTATTTATTAGAAAGACTAGTTATTTATTTATTTAGAGCCCTCGGTAGCCGATATGTTATGTAATAGATCTTGTAATGAGTCTTAAAAATATACTCTTCAAATTTAATTTTAATCTTCAATCAATAAATTATTACTACATATTTAACTTAAGATAAAGTTTTAAGTTTTCTCATAGTTAAATTATCATTACCTTTCCGTTTACAAAGTATCCATTGTTTTCACCAACAATATTTTCAAATTTGTTCATATAAAATGGAACAGTTTCGTTTATCAAAGTTTCAAATTTTTTAGCTTTAGATTCTTCATTTGGATCAAACGCTGCCGATGCGATAGCTATGAAAATAACAAACAAATATACAATTTACATGTTATTATATTCTTAAGACAATTATTTTTATATTTTACATAGTCGGAAGTCTGCAAAGTTGTCGACAGCAATATCGATAAGTAAAGATTCCCAATCATCGCTACCGGCTAATCCAGCTTTTTTCGATAAATAACGGCATATGGCTGATGTTTGGTTCAATATTTTACCATCGATTTCTAAAGTTGGTACTTGACGATATGGCATTTCTAAAAGGAATAAATTTAATTCAAATTATTCAATATATACATATTTCTTAGTTAAATATACATTGGGTCTATCGTAGGTACTAAATATTAACAGTTACTTAGTGGTCTACCACAGACATCATTAATATTTATCTAAAATATTAATGAACAAACAGTAAAAATGTTTATGAACATTAAAAAAATGGTAAATTGCATTTGATCAAAAAAATAGTTTTGAATACTTATTTCGATTCGGAAATAGGTTCTATCTCACTATGTAACATTTATACTTATTGAATAATATGATATTTAATTATTCAGGGAGAACTCGATTTTTCTATCTTACACAACGATCAAACTGAGAGGATGTCAGTGCAATATTTGTTTCCTCTCTCAGACTCACATAGATAAAACGTTTTTGAATAAAATCATTTTTTTATCATTTTTGAGTAACCTTACAGTAACCTTTTAGTAAAACACCTATTATAAAAATAATAATTTTTTGAGGGCGTAACTAATTATTATTGAATTTCAAAATAAAACAAAAAAAGTTGTAAATTTAAATGACGTTGAAATTGTTGAGATACAATATTCAGACAAATCGTTACGTCATTCCCTCAAAAATATTATTTTCTATCGATGTTGTGATAGATGATTTTACTCTAATATTATTCAAAAGCATAAAAAAATTATTCTACGTAAATGTATATAGTCTATGAAAAGCGAGTTACAGAGAGAGAAAACAAACAAGGCGTTGACATCCTCTTAACGTAGATATTGCTTTTGCTCTCTTTTTGTGGTTAATTTTTTCTTTATAGAAAACTATAGAATTGTTTGATCATATTAACAATGAACAATATTGAATTTATAATAAAGATAAAATCAATACCTTGGTACCAATCTATTTTTAAATGATATTGAACTTTTAATACGTTTTTTAATTAATTTATGTATTAATTTAAATACTTATAATGGATTTTTTTCTGCACTGTTAATCGCAATTCAACAATTGGCCTTAGTCTCATTATAATGAAATGAATCAAAAAAATGTATGTACTTAGGTATATACAATTGTTAAATTATACTTACTGGGCTTGATTGATGGCCATTCTTCACGTTCAAACCGAACATCTTCAAATTCGATTTTCAAATAAGACAAGAGAAACCTGATAGGCTCTGCCAGGGCAGGAAAATTGAAGTAAGTGAGTTTGTATGCTGCCATTTCTTCTGCTGAAATTCTATTTATTAATTTCAAAATTAGTCTTAGTTTTTGACTATACTCAGTGATATTTGTACGTAATTTACGCAAATTAGTCAGAGTACAATTAATTGAAAAATACTTACAAGAAAAAAAGTTTGAATATTAAGTTGACGAACTTATCGAAGAAAAAACTGTGATCACTACTGTGTGGTTGGACTGTAATTATTACAATAATTCTGTAACAATGTTCAACCACTCATTTATATACTGCTACTTGATGAGCGAAAACACATACTCTACTGCCTGCTCCTAATCATAAAATCCACTAGTCGAGTATTTTGGCTGTTGTATGTATCGTCTGTCATTTGTTTATTTAGACAAACCGGTTAGACAAGTACCAAACTTCCAAGGCTGTTCACGTTTGACCTGCGGTAGTGGTGGCATAGACGATTGTTAGGAGAGCGAAATCGGAACATTTCATTTCCCACATGGTTATCATTACAATAATTACTACAACTACTTAATAATTACACTTTTCGTCCATGAGATCATCATTATTTCGAGTTGTCGATGACGACATTTCATATCAGTGTTATCAAAAAATTGTGTACTACAGGTTATATACGATCATAAATAATTAATTTAGTAACACAACAAAAAACAATTATTATCATAGTTACCTACTTGACAATATATCATAAAATGCAATGCAAGGCGATAGCTAACTAATAAAATAATAAAATATAATCTTAATTTATTACCAATAATCGATTTTTATCGTATTAACAGTAAATATTTAACACATTTTGTCTGTTAATGATATATTAATCGATAAAAACTAAAAAGTCTATTGTTACAACCTCGACGGACGAGGGAGTGACAAGACTGTTGTCGGAGAGCGTCTAGTGTATGTCGATGATGCGCAAGTGCTGAAGACGACTATTGGATGAAGGAAATGATGATCAAAAATATTGAGCGAGCGAAGACAGCTATAATTATTAGTGCTGAGGAATTGGCGGTGACTAGAGGCAAGATTTGACCAACAGGATCATCACTGGGCGCAAAGGGGAGAGAATCGGTGGACATTTGTAGGTTTATAGTTATAGAGAACTTGACACTTTTCGTGATTATTGTCCTGGCTCAACGACTCAACCACATCAGTGTCCTTTGTCGGGCTCGTGGAGTCCTGCACCGCAGAACCCTGAACAATTTTCAGTTTCCACGGATCCATGTTCCTTGCTTAGCTCTATGGCTGATCCGTTGTGCTTTGTCTCCAATTTAAATCTCATCATTGTTTGAATATTGTAATAATGTAATGTTTCCAATGCACTGATTACAATTATACAAGATTTCATGTCTGCAATAATAGTGCAGTTGGTGGAGCATTCATATATTTACCCACCGAAATGAAATCAAATTCGACAGAACCTATTTATCATTCATTTATAATAATTATTTGAACTAAATAAGCACTGTTAAATGTTACGTTTAAAATAATTGTAAACAAGAAAATACACTTAGTGAATTTCGTTAAGAGAAATAAATTTTTTTATATTTTTTTGTAATATATTCTATCATGTTAAGAAAATATGAGATATTATTTGAAGAATACAACCAAAAGAACATTATAATATTAAAGTGAAATATTGATTGGTGAAAAAATATAGGCACCTATAACCACTCTGCTGTAAAAAAGTTGTGAATTTCCCTCGTCAGTCATAATCAAGTATAAAGCCACTGTAATATTAAGTATTAATTTAAGTATTAAACTTAAATGAAATGATAAATCATTGCATATCAAAAAATATTCGAACAGGGACAAATGGACGCGGCCGTTTGGACGCAGCCATTTGGACGCGAGGTCATTTAGACGCGGCCGTTTGGGCGCGGGTACATTTGGACGCGAAAAAAACATAAATTATAATATATTTATTTTATTCGTAATTTTATATTAGGGTATACATATAATACAATTAAAAATCTAAAACAGTTATTAAAAAATACAAATTACAATACAATTAAAAATGTAATAATTACTAAGTTACTGTACAGAAATATTTTGGGCTATCCCTCTCAAAAATGACAAAATTCCACTCTGTTCATAATTTTGAACAATTTTTAAAATCCTTTTATCAACATCAATATATTTTTTTTAGTTTGTCAAATAAATATATAAAACCATTTTCAGTAAAAATGCATTCATTACGATTTGACTTCATTAATGCCATAACTACTTCAAATATTATATATATTGTGTTTAAATAAATCGCTGTTATATTATAAAAGTAACGTAGATCTAACCACTGCTTTCGGTCAACTAAAGTTTTCGTTGGTTACGAGTGGATTTTAATCGTAATTTCTCGATAACGTTTTTCGATAACGTCGAATAATCCCTAATATCGTGATAAAAGTATAATGTTATATAGATATAATATATAAGTATATGATATAGGTATAAAGAATTCCATAACATCAATTATGATTATGGTATAGTTTCCCTATACCCGGAAAATAAATATTGTTATAATTTATGTTTTTTTCGCGTCCAAATGTACCCGCGTCCAAACGGCCGCGTCTAAATGACCTCGCGTCCAAACGGCTGCGTCCAAAAGGCCGCGTCCATTTGTCCTAGATCGAAAAATATTCTGAGCTAGGACGCTCGGTCGGAAAACGTATATTTTATGTTTCTATTATTTTATATGTTTTATAATATGTATTATTAATTAGTTTAAGTTAAAATGTCACTGTTGAACTGTCCATCAAAATATGATATCAGCTTTAAAATAAAAATGTGTAAAATAATAAAAATAGATGAAGTAACAAATAACTATCAAAATAATATGCAAAAAAAATTATATGATTAAAATCAGTCATAGAAAAAACCTTGGTTGTCCTACACAACTTCTGTGCTTCAGTGATCACTAGTGTTAATCATTTATATTTTATATGCATTTTTATCGTAACATTATTTCAAAAATTTCGGAATTTAAATTCACAAATTGCCTGATATACTGATATAAATTTTTATTTTGAATATTTTATTTATAACGAACAATATTTTTACAATTGTGTATTTTAACTTTAAAAATGAATGTTATATGCTGTATATGTATACGAAAGTAATGTGAAACTGTAAAAGTCTAGATGTCACCTCTGAGTAAATCGTAATAGTTAATAGGGTTCGAGTCAAACTAACTTTGGTTGGTGACCCCCGTCACCAGCCGATGTTTACACACAAAAATCGCATTCCTATAATAGGTATAAGTTGGTATACCTTTCCAAGTTATTTTGTGGAACTAGCCTAGATATTCCTTGCTCTGTATTTCTAACAGCATTAATACGAATGACATGACGTTTACCTCCACAGTATATGCATCCATCAACCCAATGGCCCATGTTGCCGAGGGTCTTTTATCAAAAAGTATTTTCATCTATATATTGCATATAAGTTACGCCACGCAAAGTCAGTCTCAGAAACCGAGATTTCTTATCTCCATTAACTATTATACCGTTATTATAGTGACCGATCTTCCAAAGTCTATGAGAACAACACAATAAAATACATAATTGTGATATTTATATATTATTATGAACAAATTTAGAAACATAAATTGTATTATAAAAGTCCTAGTAGATACGGTCTCTTGTGGTAATGTGCATTTTGATTAACCCAAGTAAGGAAGAAAAAATAGCAAAATTATTCATTTTCCTCTCTCATATAATATGATGTATGTATATATTAAATGAGTTATCACTTGTAGTTCTAAAATTAGTTATCATTCGAATCATCATAACTTCATGAAGAATGCAGATCTCTTGGCCATCCATGGTTTAATATGAGATATTTCCAATAATACACAATTTACACATTATTATATTATTAGAAATCAAAACTATGATTTTTATAATTTACCTAGTTTTAAATCATTGACGTTATCAACTGTGATATCTATCAGTAAGGATTCCCAATCGTCGTGCCTTCTAATCCAGCTTTTTCCGATGAATAACTGATGTTTGATTCAATATTTTACCTTGGATTTCTATAAATGGTCTATAATTTAAACTAGACTCGTTGAACATATAATATAAGGTACAGGGTTTTCAAATGCAAAATGAATGTGTAATTTATGTTTATATATACATATTTTATTTTTTTGAAATACCTATCACTTCGTAATAATTAAAAAAATATACTATTTACTATCTACTATAATTTATCTATATACGATAAATGATAATATATTTTAACATTATGTTTTGAATGATGTACGTATACTGAACATTACAAATAATGTATAATGAATATTTGTTATTAAGAGGATAGTTATCGGTAATGGACTAATTTTTTTACATAAAAAAAGTAAAATGTTACCATTGAAATACCTAATTTTATTATGCTGAACTACCCATGAAAGAACTTTTCATAACTAATAACTATTAAGTAATAACAAGGTGTACTATAATTTTGGTCATATTTTATCAATAAAGGAACAAATTTAGTGCAATTTCACTAAAATCTAATTGAAAATTCTCTCAGAACTAAGACATTTCTAATATCATTACTTATTTTTCCATTTTTAGCATTATTTTTAGTATAATTATTATTTATTTACAAATATAAATAATTTATTATTCATTTTCTACTTTAATATTATTCTATGTAAATGGATGGTAAACGGTAAGTAATGAGTGGAAACTAAAAAATTATACATATTTAACTGATATCAGGAACTGGTACCAAACATTTCTGAAACCGATATTTTACATTTTTTTCTATTAAATACCGGAACCGAACGGGAACAGTTATTTTATTTTCGGGGAATCGGTACTGGGATCAGTAACAGTAAATTAAAAAGGTTCCAGTTCCTTTTAAAATTCTTTGACTACTTACTGATGGCCGTCGTTCAATTTCGATCTGATTATCTTCAAAATTGATTTCCAAATAAGTCAATATTACCTGATAGGTTCTGCCAGAGCAGGAATATTAAAGTTCCACAAGTCTGTACACAGCAATTTTTCCGCAAAAAAATTTTCTATTAATTTAAATTATTTTTACTTATTTTGTTAAGTTTAATTATTGTGATGTTTTTTTAACTGAATATCTTAAAGCAACATGTGGTGTTTATTAGTAATCCACGAAAAATAAACGGAATACCTACAATAGGTACATCGCAAAATACTTACAACGAAAAAACCTTTGAATATGTTCAACGAGATATCGAAGAAGACAATAATCACTATTGTGTCGCTGGACTGTAAATATTATCTACAATAATTTTGTTCTAATGTTAATTTATGGTCTTATGGACTTAGCTTATTTATTAATTGTACCAACAGATTAGAGAAGTATCATAATGACCGCGATAGCTGCAGAGGTGGTAGAGCGAAATCGGAACAGTTTCTTTCCCACATAATGATAATTATTACAATAATTCAAAGTAGTGTTATTATAAATACAGTTTTCGTCCATGAGATCATCGTTATCGAATGGTCTATGACTGCATTCGATATGCTATAAGTCAGTGTTTCCCAAACTGTTTGCAATAGCTACTCATAAGTGTAACCTGTATTGGATACGTGACCCTCTGCTAAAAAAAAAAATCAAATAGTATTTTTATTGTAATCAATTTTATCATTCTCAACGATAAGATAACAAATATTCGATAATCGTAATAAAATAATATAAAGATTACTAAAAATATATCGATATCCGTGTAAAATCGATGTCATACTCATACATTCTACAATACTAATTGGACTTCACATTATTATTATACAATGTAGAGGTATCAATTTACGACTAAAATAACCGTAATCGTAACCGTGAGTCACAAGTCACAACCCAACAAAAAAATTTCGAGACCCATGGTTTGGGAAACGCTGATATAAGTATTATCAAAATATTAATATTTTCAAACAATTGTCACAATACTGTCTACACCGTGAACAATTAAGAAACTTCGAAAACAATCTATTATACTTGTACTAATGTATTATATAATACATTTTTTTTTGCAAAATCATAAAATACATGCAAATATAGTTGTATAGTTCACTAATAAAACAACTACATTTGGTACTTAAGTACTTTTAAACAGTTTTTATTTAATTAAAAGCAATTAGGTAAGTAACACAAGTTATTCGTTAAATATACATTACCTATATATTAAATATGTCAAATTTACATTGTAAGTTTGTAAAACAAAAAAAAAGACTATTTCTGATTATATTATACATTTATATTAATTCACTAAATCATTTTGGATATTTATTTTGATTTAAGGTTATTCAGTAATTAACAACAACATTTTTTTGGGGATTTCAAAAAAATTATATTACATGATTAAAATTGTGTTTAGTAAGACTAATTCAGTTGCATTGATGTATTTTATAAAATGTAAATATTATAGTATGAATAACTAATTATTTTGTAGGTATTAGTTTTATTTGATGACATAACATCAAGCACTTTAGTCTGTATGTAGTCAGTTTAACTTAAAACGGTTCAAAAACAAATTTTACTAGTTGTTACATACGTTTAATTAAAATACATTTTGAACTTGATAAAGGGAGGGAGTGTTATTCATATTAATAGTCAATTTGAACTATTGGATTCAATCACAATATGGCAAAATAAGTTTAGTTTAATCAATGATCAGACTATTCCAATCAGTCTATGACACAATAATTTGTTTATTTTTTGTTTAATTAATACTGGTAACACCTATCTGGAAAATTGAACAAAAAACGTATACAGAGTGCTATCTAGTGACAAAAATGATTGCTATTATATATATAGTCACACGAAACCAGTACGAATAGAACTTAAAACGACTACAGTAGATAGCGCAGCCTTTATCGTTTATCCGCGTCAACTGTATACAACAATTATAATTACCTATAACGACTCTAACAACTCTTGAAAACCTCTTCAATCTCCATCTTGGATCATTCAGCTATGTTACAAAACTTAAACAATTTATAACAATTAACTATAGCTATTTTTACCATCCGAGGGCGAGTGATAGTGGTGGATTTAGGGGGTCTCAACCCCCTTTCACCCAAATTTGACTTGAGAATAAGATATTTGACAAACTTAGCTTTCACATTATCATAATTATACAAATTACAGTATTAATACTAATAATACATGATTGAGTAGGTATTTATCATTGCTTATATTACTTCGTCGCTTAAATATCAACACCACATCACAACCTTAACATTTTTACATTAATTAAGTATTTTTTTTTTTTTTTAATTGCAAAACAACAATAAAACAACAAATCAACAAAAATATTATTTGAGATATGTGTTGTGTCAGTTTAGAATAGATAGGTAATATTAGAAAAATATTTATAATAACTACTTAATACTTATTATACGATATGATATTTCAAACCACAACACAAGCTATTTGAAAAGAGCATCTCGAACACTTATGAGAAACTATAAGTTATAACATAACATTGCCAATATCATCAAAGTATTTAAAAACCTTAATCAACATAAATGTTTGAGTCAACTAACTTACAATTTTAAATAAATTATACATACATTAATGTATGAAACTAAAATTATTATAATGAAACAAATATTTTTATAAGAGTTCACCTGATTTCAATTGTCAGCAGACCTTTTAAACAAAGCAATTAGCATGTAGATAGCTAGGTGGTCTTGATTTAAGATTTTAGATTGACCTTTCTGTGTTGCAATTTTTTCAATTATCACATTGTTCTTATTGATTGTTTAATATTTTATCTCATAAATCTTAGACCGCCAGTCGATTATGTGCGAAATTTTAAATAAAAAAATGGCGCCAACATAATTAGACCAAACAGTGAGATGGGTGTGGTAATGTTTCATAAGTGAAGATTCTTTGCAATTTGGTTCTTCATGATAAGCGTGTTATGAATGCACGTTGTAAATAAATCGATAGAGTTATAAAAACTAAATACATTTTATGTACATCGCGATGATGCGCACCATTGTCGTGAGAGACTACAACTACACGGCATAGGTACATATTATAACATAATGTTATTATTTATTATGAATTTATGAATTACTATGAAATGACAATGTATCGCGCACCACAGCTCCAGGTGGAGTGAGTATGTGTCGTTTAGATGTGAATGATTTGCGAGAGGAGTAAGTGCCTTCCTGTATAATTTTAACTCGCGCACGTCATATTTGAACGTGGATTAACTTATTTATTAGGCACAAGCTCTATGTTCAACTGCTGCACGTTACGTGCCCATTGCTCGAAACTATTCCAATATATTTTATGTAATAACAATTTTCGAAATTAAATTAAAATGCGATCAACCGTAGTATAATAACGTTGTGATAATATTGAACAGAAGGTTTCCTAGACAGTTTTGGAAGCGGTGACGATTTTTCGTGAAAATTATAGCAAAATTTAAATTATTTTTTATTTTACTAAGAATATTTTTGTAAATAGCAAAAACTGACTGATTTACAAATGCACATAATATACATAGCCATTATTTGTGGACAAAATATGATCGGAAATAACGTGTATATGTATACGAAACTACGAACTAAATTTGCATCATTATTGAATTCAAATGTAACACACACATTACAATGGTGACTTCCTCAATGACGATTGACGAGGTACACAATTGAGAGGTCACCTACTTTTCATAATCTTTGTTACCTAATACTTCACTATAATAATATGATTTAATCAAACTAATTTTAATATTAATAACAATGGCAATATGGTGTTCTCCTCCATATTATATGCATTTGTATTACATATACCTACGTTACGCCCATAGACTAATATACGTTATATGCCACTCCGGCGGCGTTGGGTAGTGTGGCAACTGCGAATCGCGTTAAAGTGATGTATTATTATAATATTAATCAATATATCTAACAAAAACGTTGAAATAAAAAAATCAGACAAGTTACTAGTAGTACAATAGAAGTTTATTTATAACTACTTTAATTCGTTTGAAAACTGTAAGAAATATTGTAACCTTGATACAATATTTTACCTTAACGATTCTTCGTAATTTTAAACTTTATATTATTTTATTTTACTTTAAAATATACATATAGACACAAGATACAGTAAAGTTTGGGCATAAAATTGACCGGATTTGAAGTATGAAAACATCAGAAAGTAGCAGTAATACAAGTATTAAAAATAAACAAGACACGATTTTTATTGTGCCTATATTATATAACCTGCAGTTTAGTTAAATGAAATGTCTACTTGTTATTTAATATAATATCGTTATTATACTTGTTTGACAAAGTAAATTATTCGGTCTACTACAGACGTTCATTAAAATTCTGAGTTTTATTTTTAACTTACCTTTAAAGGAACCAATCACCCGATGGTTATGAAAAAAAAAGAGTATCAAACAATATACATATTCATGATATTTATATATACGATTATAAACAAATTTACAAACATAAATCTTATTATAATAGCCTTAGTGCTGTCTAAAATACAAGTACGGTTCTTAAATTATCCTGGTAAGGATGAAATAAATAACGAAATCATCAATGCGCCCTCAATATAGGAAGAGACTATATAAGACTATATAGACTATATAGAGATATATAAGAAACTTGGGAAACTTAGGATAATAATTTATTAACAGGGGCTATATAAGAACTACCAATAATATCATAATCAGTTATTATTTGACAGGTCACATAAGAAATCAAGGTATTTGTGATACCCATGATTTAATTTGAGTTATTTAAAATACGTTTTGTTTATGTCCTTGTAATTTTGGATATCTTTAAGTAGCACCAATTTTTCCAAAAAGTTTAAATAATCTAGAATAGCTACAAAATAAATATCAGCCTAGACCAACTATATTTTTTACTATATTTACTGTTATAATTTTCTAAGTTTTTTACACGAGTACACCATACTTACAGGAATTGATCACGATTCAAAGTGCCTATGTTATTAATATTTTATTTCAGAATATTCAGCGGCAGCTTAGTGTGGATTTTGTAAGTGTTAACATTTTAAATTTGTATAGCTGAATATTGTACATCCAAATAAGGTTTTTCATAAGTAATTAATGTGCTGAAATCAAAAATTTATATTCACATTTTTTTGTTTTTTTTTTAGATATTTTAATTTCAAATTTGGTCAAAATTAGATATTTAGACAACGAATAACGTTTTTTGTTATGTTGTAATTTAAAAGTATTAGTCGTATGTATTTGATACTTAAAGAGTTAAATTATCATATTGTATGCTCAGAATGATATTTTCAAATGCAATTTCGTTGTCAAACAATAATTTAATGTAAGTATTGTATTACTATAATGTCTAGTTGATAAATTAATAACTTTAATAGCAATAATATCATAAAATATACTTATCAATAAAGGCAGACTTTGGCTCAAAATCATATTTGGTTTATAATGAGTTTATATTGCATTCCAATTTGATACGTTCATGAAAGTGACTCCAGTAGACATTTGTCCACTTTTTTATTAGTAGTATTTACTTTTTTATAAATTATGGTATTTTTAGGTGAGTTACAACTTTAGAAGGTTACAAAATATTGCAATTCAAAATATACTTATGCCTGTGACAGCATGTTACCACGAAGTAGGTTGCTTAAACTTGGACTCCATCAGCATTTTGGTTAAATATTAATTTTTCAATCCTGAAAACTAGAGTTTTAATTGTTTCCAAAATAATAACAAATGTTTGGAGAAAATTGATCAAAGTGGAAAGGACTTCAATCACATATTGAATAATGTAACATGATATTCTCATCCATTATACTTAAAATTCAATGGAATTTTTTTGGTTTTATTGGTACTTATAAATTGGGGTTTTAGAAAGTATAAAAAATCAATTAATCACCAATAGTGGAGCTGTAGACATGTTCCCCCTCCAGCTTTTTAATTGTTGATGTTGTGGAGATTATGCGGGAATTCCATAAGTAATGGCAAGCATTCACTAGAATGGAGCACGAAGTATTGAAATGGGTGAAGGTAGGAAAATGTTTGTGTCATTTTTTATTTTAAACATAAATAAATTGAGCCCTGACTTAAATCGGGCAGGATTTTAAACTTAAAAAAAAATCAGATCTTAATCTATTGTATTACCTATTAAGGTACAAATCGTAGGTACAAATGTACAATGTACCTTACATAAATGATACACGATAATGTATGATGTATAATAAACACAGTTTAATATAAATATAACCTCTTATTTGACATAATAATATTATAATTATCGTTATTATTACAGTTTGACATACATTGTTTATATATATATTTATTTATTTTGAATTAACGCCAATCTGCTTTTACAAATATAGCATAATACGATTACAGGATATTATTTAGTTACAGTATTTTTTCTAATATTTGCAACAAGCATTTATTAAATGATCTTAATTAACTTACAATGGTATGGTGACCAATCACCTGACGCATATGACATATAATATCATAATAATTGATAGTTACTTCATTAAAATCAATCTTAAAGGGATCATGTCAATACTAGCAGTAAACTCAAAATCAGTCTTACACATCATATGAGAATGCAGGTCTTTTGATGATCCATGATTTAATTTCAGGTATTTCCGATACATTTTTTTTAAGCTCTTGTAATTTTGTACGACCTTCTAGTAGATTCACTTTTGCCAAATAACCCAAAAAATCTATTATAGCAACAAAATATAGATCAGCCCAAGACAGCTAAAACAAATAAAATAAAGTAATTAAATTAATATAAGATACAATCAAAAAAGTAAAAAAAATACAAATTTAAAAAAAAACACATTATTTTATATAACAATATAGAATTAAACTTAAATTAATATCTATATGTATATATTTATCGTTTTTTATACAAAACAATTTCAATCTGAAATTAATCAGTCATTACTATTTATCTAAAAATTAATTTTTAGATTTTCTGATAATTAAATTAATATTACCTTTCCATTTACAAAGTATCCATCGTTTTCACCCACAATATTTTCAAATTTGTTCATATAAAATGGAATAGTTTCGTTTATCAAAGTTTCAAATTTTTTAGCTTTAGATTCTTCATTTGGATCAAACGCTGCCAATGCGATAGCTATGAAAATAAAAAACAAATATACAGTTTACATTTTATTAAATTCTTAAGAAAATTATTATTATTTTTTATTTTACCCTTTCGAAAGTCAGTAAAGTTGTCGACAGCGATGTCGATCAGTAAAGATTCCCAATCGTCGCTACCGGCTAATCCAACTTTTTTTGATAAATAACGGCATATGGCTGATGTTTGATTCAGTATTTTACCATCGATTTCTAAAATTGGTACTTGAAGAAAGGGCATTTCTAAAAGGTATACATTTAATTCAAATTAAATATATATATATATATATCGTAGGCAATATATTCATAACATGGATCTACTGTACTAAATATTAAAAATTAACACAGTGTTATAGTACAGACGTCATTAATCTTTATTTAAAATATCAATGAACCAACAGTAAAACTGATTATTAACATTAAAAAAAAATGGTAAATTGATCAAAAAAATTGTTATTGAATACTTATTTCGACTCGGAAAAAAGGTTCTATCTCACTATGTAACATTTAAACTTATTGAATAATATGATATTTAATTATTCAGGGAGAACTCGATTTTTCTATCTTACACAACGATCAAACTGAGAGGATGTCAGTGCAATATTTGTTTCCTCTCTCAGACTCACACAGATAAAACGTTTTTTTTATCATTTTTGA